GGGGAAATGGAGCATTTTGGACAAAGCATGGTCTTGTGGGGCAGCTAGACAAGAAAGAATTCAAATTCCCAATCCATGAAGCTCAATCTCATCTTCTATAAAAAATGGGGTTAATAAGGGGGTGCCTGTAGCTCAAAGGAGTAGGGCGCTGGCCCCATATGCCGGAGGTGATGGGTTCAAACCCAGCCCTAGCCAAAAACTGGAAAAAAAAAGAGGGGGGGGGGTTAATACATACTTGCCTCTTATGGAAATTTAGATAATTTTGGTAAAAATCTAGTATTTTTCTCAGAAAGTAATACTGATTAAATATACAGCAGCTTGGCTGGGCACCTATGGCTACACCTATAATCCCCTCACTCTGAGAGGCAAGTGGATTAATTGCTCAAGCTCAGGAATTCAGAAGCAGCCTGAGCAAAAATAATACAACAGGTCTTAAAATCATGACCCTTTAGATCTGTTCTCAGTCTTTCATATAAAGTCCTCAAATAAGTATTTTCAGAATAGTTTTATTTTCAGGGCCAATAATGAGGATTTCAAGATTTTTTTTTTTTTTTTTTGAGAAAGAGTGTCACTCTCTCACCCTGGGTAGAGTACCGTGGTGTCACAGCTCACAGCAACCTCAAATTCTTGGGCTCGAATGATTCTCTTGCCTCAGCCTTGCAAGTAGCTGGGACTACAGGAACCCACCACAACACCTGGCTATCCAATACTTTTTTTTTTTGAGACAGAGTCTCACTCTATTGTACTGGTTATAGTGCTGTCATAGCTCACAGCAACTTCAAACTCGTGGGCTCAAGTGATCCTCTTGCCTCAACCCTCTGAGTATCTGGGACTACAGGGGCCCAGCTAGTTTTTCTATTTTTCTGTTTTTAGTAGAGACAGGGTCTCACTCTTACTCAGGCTGGTGTCAAACCCCTGAGCTCAAGGGATCTACGTGCCTCCCAGAGTGCTCGGATTATAGGCATAAGCCACTGTACTTGGCCTTTATTTATTTGTTTAAGCCCATGGACTGAGGAAATAGCAGGAGCCAACCTCGGCCTCCCAGCTCTTCCCCCATTATCATCAATAATGATGGGCTATAGCTAAGCAGAGGGAGGTGAGATGGGGTGCTGAGATACCATACAGAAAAATGAGGCAGGCTGGCAGAAAGATGGACCACTGTTGATTGGGGTAAGGTTAGTGGTGATTTCTTTTATTTCTTCTGTATGGAGAGCTGATAATTTGTGTTCCAAAATCTAGACATTTTGGAAAAGAAATATAATATAATGTTCTACATAGTTGATGTTGGAGGCCACAGAAAACAAGCTGCTGTATGTAGTATAAAAAACATGGATTTAGAATCTAAACATCGGTTTGAGTCCCAGGTCTGCCATTTTTGTATTTCAGTGATCTTGGACAAATCCTTACATTCCTGAATCTGTTACCTCATTTGTAATAGAAGAAATAAAAACTGAATTTTTTTTTTTTTTTGAGACAGTCTCACTGTGTCACTCTTGTTAGAGTTTTGTGGCATCATAGCTCACAGCAACCTCAAACTCTTGGGCTTAAGCTATTCTCTCTCTCTCTCTTTTTTTTTATTAAATCATAGCTGTGTACATTAATACTGTCATGGGGTACAGTGTACTGTTTTTATATA